TTGGTTAAGTGTTTATATGCTAAGTATGTGATAAATGTTCTCTACATGAAAAAGTTTAAAAAAAATCAACTTTAAGGCCCTCCCTGGTGGCGCAGCGGGTTAATGCACTGCAAAAGAAGCTTAAGCCACTTCGCATGAGTTCGATCCAGCCTGCCCCGGAGGAGATCCACATGGCGTGGCAGGCCTCTCCTGGCCCGCCTGCTGCTCCCCTCATCTGCCTGTTCTGCTCCCCACTCTGTCCCTGGTGAATTCTCTCACCCTCCGCATCTCTGGCCTGTATCCCAGTTCTGTATGAATAAATAAATAAATCTTAAAAAAAAAAAGGGTTGTATGTGTATTTAAAAAAAAAATCAACTTTAAGGCACCATTTCTACACACTACAAAGGCCAATTAAAAATGTGGTTTAATAATTTTGATGTATATAACTGTGTAATAACTGCTACAATCTAAATATCCATTCATATCACTGAGTAATATGTTCTACTACACAGCTAGACTGTAATTTATCTTTTCAGCTGTTAATAGATATCCAGTTTGAGAGGAGGGGTCTGATCAATAGTTACTTTAAATATGCATGTACAAGCCATGTTTTGCAGTATTGTGGGGACAGGAGCTTAATGTATGGTTATGTGGTAAATATGTTTCACTCTATAGGAAATGACAAATTGTTTTCCAAAGTGCTCGTTGCATTTTATTTCCCATCAGTAATATATGAGAATTTCAGTTGTTTCCCATTCCTTCTATTTGTTTTGTATTAAGAAAATTTACCTTAACAATTCTGAAAGTTTTGAAGAACACAAACATTTGTGTGTCACAATAAAAATCAGGATATAGAAAAATAAAGATAGGAAACAATTTCATTACACAAAGTCCCACACGTTCTTTTGTAGTCAATCCTCTTCTCACACCTTTTCCAGGCAATTACTTATCTGCTGTCTTATAATTTTGTCTTTTCCAGAATATTATAATTAGAAATACATGGTATATAGTCTTTAACTTCTTTCATATAACACAGTATTCACGTTATGTGTAGCTGTAATGGACTCTGTCACTGAATAGATTATCATAAGATTGTCACTTGACAAACATGGGTAGTTTGCAGCTGTTAGCAACTGCAAGTCACTACATATATGTAGACAGCTTTTTATGTGAAAATAAATTTTTCATTTGGGATTACCGTCATAATTTAACTTTAAAGAATCTGTCATCCTTTTCTAAGATGACTCAGTTTGTACTCCTAATAATTGCAGTGTGAGATTTCCAGTTACTCTACATCCTCACTGTATTTTTTACATTCCATATCTAGGTTATGATTAATTTTAAGTTCATTTTTTTTAACGGAACACAAGGTATGAAGTCAGGTCTTGTTTGGCTGGTTTTGCATCTAGATACCAACTTTTAGCATTGTTTTTGAAAAGACTTATTTTCTTTCTCTGCTAAAATGTTTTACATTTTAGTGACAAATTAATCAATTGTTTATGTGTTGGTATCTTTCTGGACTCTCATTCTGTTTTATTGCCTATTCTCTCTATAATGCCTCAATTTCTATAGGTTTAGAATAAATCTTAAAAGGAGGTAATATATTCATTCTCTTATTTTAGTTCCCTTGTGTCTGCATGCATGCCTTGAAAATTTATTGAAAAATGTATTCATTTTTACCAAACCTTTTCCTGGGATTTTGGATAGAATTGTGTTGAACCTGTAAGTCAGCTTGAGAATTGACATTTTAATAATAAGTCTTCTAATTCTTGAAAATGGCATTCCTCCACTTACTCAGTATTTTTGACTTTTTTCATCAATATTCCTGTAGATTTCAGCAAATATATATTGCACCTATTTTATTTGTGTCTACATATTCCATACTTTTATTGTGCTATTAAATATGAAATTACATTTTTATCAATTTCTCATTATTTAATACTAGTATAGTGAAATTATCGGTTTTGTATATCTACTTTATATCCTACAACTCACTGAGGGGACTCAAATAGCTTTTTTTGTAGGTTCTTTAGCGTTTCCTACATAGACAATTATGTTAATACAATTCTATTTCTTCCTTTTCAATCAGATGCTTTTGGGGTTCACTTTAGTATAAATGTGAAAATCTTAAAATTGAACAGGTATGCATGCAGAACAGTTTCAGAAATGACTATAGCACACAAATACTAGGAAATATAGATGGTGATTATTTCAGTTCAGTTCTCTTTTAAGTTGCTATATATATATAAACAAACACTGTCCTAAGTGATGAGGAATGTAATGGTGAGGGGAACAAAGTTCCTGAACTCATAGGAAAAGACAGACAATAAGCAGACACACACACAAATATGTATGTATAAAAATACTAGACAGTGATCATTGTTCAGAAGAAAAAAACAAAGTTGGAAAAGCAGATAAATTATGACCACAGGGGAGGCTGGTGGATTTGACTAGACCTAAATGAACTGAGAGTAAGACTGGCAAGACCTAGGGCACAGGAATTCCAGGCAGAAGGCAAGGCGAGGAAATTGCCTTGAGACAGGAAAGTGCTTGACATTTTCAAGGATGAGGAGAGGCTAAGGTCACTGGAGTAGTTGGCAATGGTGAGAGTGGTAGGAAATGAGAATGGTGAAGAGCTAACGATGAAATACTCTAGGTAATGTTGAGAAATTCTGACTTTATTCTAAGTGTTATAGGAAGCAATTGAAAGATTAAGAGCAAGAACAATGCTCTTATTCTTCAAGAGGACTACAGAGTCCCTGCCTTAATGGGGAAGGCAAAGAATAAACAAATGCATAGAGAAAAAAAATATATACCTGTGTGAAAATGCCAGGCAGTGATCACTGTTCCTAGTTTCCTGGCTGTGCCTTCTGCTTGGAATTCCTGTGCCCTAGGTTTTGCCAGTTTAACTCTCAGTTCATTTAGGTCTAGTTAAATACCACCCCCTTCCTTGAGGTCACAATTTATCTGTTTTTCCTAGGTATTTTTTTTCTTCATAACCATGATCACTACCTGTTCACTGTTGTGGGGAAGACAGACTACTGAATGGCATGAGTGGCAGCAGGGCAGGTGGGAAGCAGTCAGGAAGTTATTGTAAGTATTTGAAAGAGATGAGTGTGCTTGGTGTGGTGGGGGGTGGGCAGAAAAGGCTGTGAGGGCAGTTAGATTGGAAATACATTTTAAAGGGGAAGTTGCTAGAATTGGATATAGAATGTATGTAAGATGGTGAAGTCAAGGTTTCTTGTTGCCTCAAAAAGTGAAAGGCTGCATTCCTAGTCACTAGAATGGTTAAGTTTGTAAGGAGAGGTGATGCAGTGGAGCCCAGAGTCCAGTTTTAGATCTACTGTCTAGAAATAGAGGAAGAACTCAGATAACACAGACAAATCAAAGAATCGCTGGCTAAGAAGCAAGTCATGAAAAGGTAAGGTCTAAGACGGCACAGGACTCCTTTTAAGGAGCTTCCACTCCATGAGTAAAGAACATAGTCCTCCATATACAACAGGTCAGGTGACAGGTGATTATGCAGAAGAAGAAAAAAAAAGGTCGGGGTGGCCCTCTCTGGCGGCGCCATGGGTTAAAGCACTGCACTAAGACGTTTAAGCCACTACCCCATGAGTTCGATTCCCGCCTGCCCAGGAGGTGACCACATGGCGTGGCAGACCTCTCCTGACCCGCCCGCTGCTCCCCTCAGCAGTGTACTCTGTTGATCTGCTCCCCATTCTGTCCCTGGTGAACCCTCTCACCCTCCGAATCTCTGGCCTGTACCCCATTCTGTATGAATAAATAAATAAATCTTTTAAAAAAAAAAAGGTCGGGGCAATGGGGTAGACATGATAGCATTATTATATAGCTAGACAATGACTGCCTGTTATTTGTTTAGGGATGCAGTGAAATCTCTGAGTCAGGAGTTCAGGGAAAAAATAGGATGCTTCCTTAAAATTTATGGTCCTCAACATGTTTAAAATGAAATAGGTATCACGCAGAAGATGAGTGGGTGTTGATAAAGAAATCTGAGAACTAAGCCTTAAGAGTTTTCCAGCATTTAGAGTGAAATGTGCTACAATGATCTTTGTTTGATGAAAATCATGCATGAAGAGAGAGTAGCTGTCAACAGAGCAGCCCCCTCTCTAAGCCATTTAACTGCTACTATTTGCTCAATTTTTAGACTAGGCTGTCGGTATTTTTCTTAACCAGCATTCCTCAGACAACAGCACAAACACTTGTTAAAAATGAAGATTTCATATTCTATCTCAAGCCTACCAAATCAACTTCTGGGACTAGAGAAAAAAACAGAAAACTCTAGATGACTCTCATATCCCCAAATTTGAAAAATACTGCATAAAAGACAAGGAGAAAAATTAAAATACAGAGTGACATAGTAAAGGGTAAAATTGACAAAAGTCAAACTTGGAAGGCTTTGACTCATTTTGTTACAAAAGGGGAGCTCCTAAGGGTTTGAGGAGATGAGCTCAATCATCACATCTCTACAATATGGAATGGGGAGACGTAACCATGCAAACACAAATTCAGCTCCTAACATCATCCTTACAGTAATGAGTAATCCTAAAAGTACTGAAATTCCTCAGTTTTAACACATATGACATATATCAAATATAATATTTTTAGGATTTTTTATATGAATGGAATTTTAAGAGAAAACTTTGTTTTTTAAATCTTCTGTATTTTATGCTGAAAACAGGAGGAAAATAATTATTTTGGATAAAATAATCAAAGGGTTCTCAGTACAATACAAAATTAGACATTATTCTGGAAAAGGGAGGCTTATTGTAATTTCTTTCAATCAGAAAGGTGCCTGTATTTCATATCTTATATATTGTAGTACTAAGTGTAACAGAAAGAACTCTGTATTTAAATTATAAGTCATTTATTCTAATTCATTATGGAGACACAATATATACATATTATTTATGAGAACTGGAGATTTATTTAGAGGTCACTTGTTAAAGTACATCTTAAAATAAAACATCTGTGCACATAAAATACAGCTGACTCCATTTTGATTTATGAAAAATAAATTTATTACGTAACACCTTGTTTTTAACAATGTTCAATTTTTTTAAATTCAGAATACTTGTGTCATTCATGTAAAATAGTTTGATACAGTACATTGTATGTTATAGTTTTTTTTTTCCTCAAAAATTCTAAGGCTCTCCTACTCCTTCTCCTTTGCTGAAGTAAGGGCACCCTAAACAACGTGCGAACGAGTTTTAAAAAAGAAAATTAACTGAACAAAATTTTAATAGCACTACACCAACCAGCTTTAAAATCAAGACAAAATATCTGAATTGGATGCCGCACCTTTTTAAGGAATTTATCATTCATGCTTTTTTCATCTTAAAGCATGCTCACAAATCAGCAACACCAACAGGAAAAATAAAACACTGTCTATGACAATCATTTTAGTTTGTTTGCTGAACCAAACAGGTTTATATCAATGACAACATACTTATTTACTATCAAATAGCAGCTTTAATACCAGTCAAGTCATAGATTGAAAATAAAAACAAACATCTAAGTTGGAAATTAATCTTTGGGAGTTTTGAAACCTTTCTGGAAAAACCATGTGGCTTTTGTACTTTGAAAAAAACCCACCAATATACTTGGTCAAAAAACACTGATTAATGTAGAAAATGAGTAATTCACTGATAAGACACTAAAATGAAAGGTGTACCAAAATAATCTCATTTTGAGGCTTGGTTATTTTGATGAGTTAATATATACTGTATGTTTCAAGTACCAGTTAAACTTGTGTGCGTGTGTGCGTGCGTGTGTGCGTGCATGTGTGTGTGTGTGTGTGTGTACTATTGGTCAGATAATGTTGTTACACTGAAAGAATCACCACATACAAAGACAAATGCTTGCCCCTAGCACATTTCACAGCTTCAACTGCTACAGACTGTCACTGAAAAAAATGCATTGGTCAGTCTGAACCATGTCAAGTAAACTATGGAAGTAGCAAATCCACAACACAAACTGTGCTAGCACTTTCTTTTCAAGTCTAACTCCAAAATAAGTACAACTTGGAAGCCACTACCCCAATCTGTGAAAAGTGATGGAACTTGGTTACTGGACACTGTGAATATGTGGTTGTACAGTACATTCTCATGGCCCATACCAGGTTCCTTCAGAGAGCTGCACAGTCAGTCCTGAAGCATGAACAACAGTGCATTGACAATATTCCAACGCAGCTCAGTACCGGTGTGTTTGATGTGAGTACTGCGGAGGCTGCTGGGAGGTAGTTGAGTATCCCATGCTGCTCTGTGGCTGTGATGTGCTTGGTCCAGGGTTGGGATAGGCAGCATGTGGATTGGAACGCTGGAAAAGGAGATGGAGGGAGAAATGTGATTCAGGTGTTTCTGAGTTGGCTGTATCCCAATGCAAAACAGCTGAGGTGCGCTTCAAGCGTCATTTCAGGGTAGTACAAATGTAAATGTCTTATGCTATGCACTAGCTTTAGAATTAAAGTGACAAAACCTCCAACTCTATTAACATTAACTTTTCTTTAAGGTCCAAAATACTACTAGTAAATACTAGTAAGCCAACTCTTATTCCTATAGCAGTAACCCCTTTTATTCTGTTTTGTGTTGTCTACTTGATATTGAATAATTTGCTTGAGGGTTTATACATAAAGTGATGTATACCTTTGGAAATTCAAAGCAAATTCACATGCTAATTTCTTTAATAGAATTCTCCCTAACACACATTGTGACTAAATAAAAATGAGCATGTCAAGAAAAGGTACCAATGAAATATTTTCTTTGGCATTAAAATATTTTTATGCCCTTCAGACTAATGAAACTTATTTCCTGCTACAAGTTACATACAAAAGTAAAATGTTTATTGAAATGTAAGAAGAATGGTATTTCCAATTCTAAAAATAAGGCAAAGGGAAAGAACACTGATAGAGGTGAGTCCTCTAATTTTGATCTGTTGTATTATGACAGAGACAATAAAAAATTTACAACTCATTACTTTCTGCTTTTGAAACATATTTAATAATTGTAGATTACAAATTCGGCCAATCCTACAAAAGTAACATTTTTGAAAAAAAAAAAAAAAGATACATGAAACTGCAGAAATAATCTGAAAAAAATCACCCATAAAACCAACCAAAATAAAAACATCAACAAACAAAAAGACAATTTTTTTTTTGGTTTTAGTAGCAAAAGCTATAGAGTATGGCTGTTCTTCATTCTAAGGATGCATCGCCTTAGTGTGCAAACACATTCTTGATCCAACAAAGACATACTCTTCCCATGCAAATGGGAAGGAAATGATGTTGGAGCAAACATCAAACCCCAAAGACATCTGACTTCTTCTACTTGCTTACTGAGGGGAATTATTACTCAGGCAGACAATGATTTCCAAGATTGGGGGAACTGAACCTTTTCTTAACCAAAGCATAGCTAACACCTGATTTCTGAAGCACAGCAGCAGTGTCTGGAAATAAAAGTTTAATAAGATTTCTTTTGCTTTTTAAGTAGGTAAAAAGTTGTAAATAGTCAAGTTTTCAGTATTTTTCCCACACTGAAACCTAACTTAGTTGTAAAATATGATGTAAATGACTGGGAAAATAATATTACAATTTTCAAATGGGTCTTTCAGCAAAAGAACTGAAAATGTCTCTTGACAAAATCCAGAGGTAGGCAAAGGAGCAGTCTTTGCAGTCAGATCTGAGTCTGAGGCCCGTGTCCACCACTGGTTAACTGAGTAAATGTGTCAAAGTTATTTGACCCCTATGAGCTTCAGCTTTCTGAAATGACAATGACAGCATCTCACGTTATAACAATGAAAGGAAATAATACATATTTCATACTTGAGTAATAGCTGGCACATGGTAAACATTCAATTACCTCCTTCTTATAACCACCACTCACCACCCACAGCCTTTATAAACTGTACCATGAATGTTACCAAAAATTTTAATGATGATAATGCTAATAAACATGGTAAAAGTGTTTATGTGAGGCTAGGCACTGAGCCGTCGGCTACATTATCTTATGTAATCCTTCCTATAATATCACACTATTGTCTGTTGTCTACTAAATGAGTAAACTGAGCATAGTTGAACCACTCACTCAAGGTTACCTAGAAGTCAACTGTTGGGCAGGGATTTGAAAGCCTGTGCTCTTAAATGTTGTTTCAAAACAACAGAAACCATTTTTTGTGTTCATACTATAAGCTCCATGCTAAAATATATCATGTCTATTCCCACGACAATCGCCAAGTTAGGCTTTCCTAGTTTCATTTTACACATAAAAACTAATGTTAGAATATGTCATATTATTTACCTAAGGCAACATAGTTAATAAATGGCATAATTTAAATCTGATCATTCCAAATTTGTCTATATCAAAAGTCTAATCATCCCCGCCCAGGCCATTGTCAACACTTTTCCATGCTGATAACACTTCATATCAATGCATTCTCCAGATACATAATGGTCAATATTTTATTAATTAAATTTTATTTTCTGATTTTTACAAACCCACATGGAAATGGCATGGCAGATAAATACAAAATAAACTTGAAATACCTGATAGTCTGAGGTCATGATTAGTCCACCTGAGGTAGTGGTAGGAGGAACAACTCTCACTTTTTTCAACGGGGGTCCCTGTGTGTGACTGCTATCTTGATTCCCTGGGTGACCAGTTCCATTAGTATGGTTATTGCCCTGTTGCTGCTGCTGGTTCTTCTCAATTGGTTAAACAGAAAAATAAAGTTCAACTCAGAAGGAGAACAAAATTGAAACAAACCAGAAAATGTTATGGTAGCACTGAGTTAAACAAGGTGCTGCCAACTATACTTTAATACTTACTTTGTCTCCTTTGTCATCGGGTTCTTCTTCCGTTAAAAATTCTCGTTTTGGGTAAGGGATTTGACAACCAGCAAAAACACTGATCACAAGAAAAAAAGAAAAACAATTTCTGGTATACCATCAATTTTACACATGCCCTACTTACCTGGGCTTCATTTTAATCTTTCAAGATGGACTTTGTCTCATATTTGTAATATAATACCTTTCATGCAACTGTGACAGAATGAGTCATTTCTTCTAACCAGTAACATTACAGCAAGCCATCTGAGGACTTACTTTCAATTGCATAAAAATAATCAATAATCAGCTTTGCATAACTCAACTTTCTTCTTTTATCCTAGCATTTTTTACTACCAAAGATAGAAAACCAGTAATATTAATTCCAGTTGCAATGTCACATTTTTACTGCTCCTTATTAGATTTAAAATAAAAGATGGTATAGGGAAAAAAAAATTGAGAATGGGATTTAAACTGGAGCACAATACCATAATTGAGCAATCTCAGCGAGTATGACTGATCTATTACATGCATAATCAACCTTGAGTGAGTCTCTGATTAATGCTGAAACTAATGCTAATAGTGTTTCATAAAGCAAGAGTAGAAAGCCTAAATAGCACTTGGGGTATAAAAGCTAATTCTGGATTTGCCTTAAGAATTTCCCTGGGCCTCCATGTAAAAGGAATGGACAACTGGAAGAAAGCAAGCCGCCCCCAATTTCTGTCATGTTGGTGAGCTCATCAACTGATGACTTACTCTGATGTAGGAAGTGGGTCTTCTAAGAAGTAGGGATCCTGCATAGCCTGTTCTGAGGTAATTCGCTTTATTGGGTCCATAGTAAGCAACTTCTGAAGCTGAAATCAAAAATCATAAACACATTACTATGTTATTTCTCATAATTATTCTCTGGTATAGATGTGGGAGATACATGTCTTTTGATGATTACTATCACAATCTGTAGGGTATTTCATTCCCCCAAATTAACAAAAATATCCCAAATTATTAAATTTAATGTAGAAATTCACATTTTAGTAATTCTAATATTCATGATCTCGGTTTTCCTATAATAAATCTTCTTACTCTAAACCAATGATCATTTCTGCACATTATATAAACTGCTCTGTCTAATCTAGAATAGGATTAAAATTCTTATATTTATCATTTTTCTATTAAGGTCAAATTATACTAGCCACAAGTGGTTATGACTAAGTTCATATTACCTTAAACAAGTTAAATTAAAAAAACACTTTCTCAATCACATCAAGTATATTTCTAGAATTTCAGTCACATGTGGCTAGTGACTACCCTGTAAGTCAACACAGATAATAAGAGAAATTTCTCTCACACAGTGTTGTACTAATCTGAAGAAATAGGGTAACTGATAAAGAACTTGTAAAGTACTTAAGCAATTATGAATGAAGACTCTGGAAGGACAACACTGGGGTTCAAATTCTGACATTAGTTGAGCACTGAATCTGGCTAAGTCACTTAATCTATCTGTAACCCTATTTATCAAACAGATATTAAAAATGTTATCTATTAACACAGGCTTGTTTTTAGGAATAAATGAATATATACAAAGAAATGTATGTCTAGCACAAAGAAAGTACTATATAAATGATAGCTATTAGAAAAGTCACATTTCTATGAAAATTCAGTTCTTTTTGGGTAAATAAGATGCTAAATTCTCAAAAATCACAGTATTTAATTTTACACATGAATTAAGAAATTATCTAAATAGTGGCCTCTTAGTTTATAATCTTTGCGCTAATGCAATGATTTTCAGGCTTTAGAATACATCAGAATCAGCTCAAGAGCATGTTTTAAAACAGACTGCCAGGTTTCATTACCAGAGCTTCTGACTTCTGACTGGTATTCCTGGGCAGGAACACAAGAATCTACAGTTCCAGTAAGTTCCTAAGTGATTCTAATACTGCTAGACTAGGACCAAATTTTGAAAAGCAAGAAACGAACAGACACATTGGGACTTAATGGGAGATTACAGAATTAGAAGATAGAAGGACATAAAATATTTAAAAATATAGGGTTAATGAGATTTAAATTTAATTTTAATGATCTTTCAGTTGAAGCATCCTTTATTTTCAGAGTTGAAAGGAAAAGTATGGATTTGCTATATAAAATACTCAACAGTTTTACTGGAATTATAATAAAGCTTTCAGATGAGACCACCCAAGATAGGTCACTTGGGTAAAGGCAAGTAAATAAACTACAAAGAAAATTTATTTTCTAGACTTTCAGTGGTGATGGCAGTGAAAGTCACTACAAATTATACTGAGTAGCAATGCATTAGGAGGAAGGGTAATTTTACTAAATTGTGATTTTTTTTTGACAAACACAAAATATAATTTTTTATTTGCAGTAACGATTTACAACACTGACTATGCTTTAGAGATACAGTTCCATTTGTCTTTAAATGTGTATTGTCACACTTCACACACCACAAAGCCATCCATCCTCTTCTACCACAATCTATTGAACACCTACCGCACTTTGTTGAGGTACATTTTCGAATTGTTCTCAAAAATTGACTTTTGATCTACACTGCTATCATTGTTTTGTTAGAATAAGTAAGTTCATAATGTTGATGAATCTAATTTACCTTCTAATTTGGATCCTGTTTTAAGTATATTGTAATAAATCATTACTTGAATATTAAATACTGCTTTTTAAAGTGTTGACATGAAATATGTATCACATGATTTAAAAATAAATAGAAGAGGAAGGAAAGGAAAGGAAAGGAAGGAAGGAAGACATGTTTGCAAGTGGCCTAGTATATAGTAAATTTTAATCCAGTCCAGTAAAAATATTCTCATTTAAAAAACTCATTTGATAAAATAAAAATACTGGAAATAAAGGATTGAAAGGATCTGAAGGCAAGCAAAATACAACCTGCTTCTCCAAATTCCCTCTTTATATATTATATAACTTTATAGGAAAACATATTATGGTATAAAAGTGGAAAATTTATTGTAAACAATTTTAAGTTAGCAATATTCAAATATAATCTTATTACAAATTGCCTTCATAGTACATGGATTAATTTACCTTCTAAGAAAATCGTTTTTCAAGTATCTACTGATGGATACTCTATCTCTCATACTCTTTCAGAAACAGCAAATAATGCATGCCATCATTGAAAGAATTCAAAATTCAAGTTTACAAGAGGTTATCTTGGGGGTCTAAAATTTTCTAAACAATATTTCAGAGAAGTGAAATACAAAACCTATAGAAATTATTTCTGAACAGTGGGGTTCTTCCCTTTTTTTTCTTCTCTGAAAGTTTTAAATTTTTAATTGGTTTAATAAAAACTAATAAATGTGATTTAACAAGGCTCTCACCAACCTGGTAAAAGGCAAGAAATAAACTGCAAAGGAAATCTATTCTTTAGAATTTGAGTGATGATGGTACTGAGATGATACTCAAAATATATTGAATAGTAATTAGAAAACCTAATGCAACCAAACATTAGTCAGTCAAATCATGTTAAGAGTTTGGAAAAACGAATACTTTGACGTCCTTACTAGTAGGTACACCATCTTTGCATTTACTACTGAAAGGCTTTCAAAGTGCTGAGTAACACTGTAAATTGACCCAAATAAACCTGGGGTTGAGTTAAAATCAGTATGAAAGGAGGGGAATGCATTCATAGAACTGTTCTCTAAGGCTTACCAAGTGGAATGCTTTACTATCTGGTTTAACTTTGTGTTTTTCCATATACTTGATAAGGCTGCAGTTGGTATACCTGAAAGAAAAATACTATGAAATATCTATATTAGATTTGAGGTTAATTTTACAAGGACTAAACTTTTTCCAAAAGAAACTTTTATCATTTAATCATTTAGCCTCAGACTACATGTTGAAAAGAGTATATAATCAGCACAAAAAGCACAGATTTAAGTCAATTTTATGTGTCATTTAATATTCACTTTTTTATATTTCATTTAATATTTACTTTAGCCATGATTAAAAACAAGGTAACTTTATGAATAACAACAGATACTATGTAGTTCTTTTTCATATGACTGTTTATCTCAGTAATTATCCTGAATCTAACCAGTAGGCTTAAAATTTAAAAATATATTACTATAGGTCTAAAAAAAATGGCCTTTTCCCAGTCACCTGATCTTGAATTGTAAGTAAGTATAATATTCCCTCTCTATAAAACTTGCTTAACATTTTTGCAGAACCTAGGTGGATAGGAAAGTAGTTATCTTCAGAAAGGTTTGCTAAATGCTACTACTATGGTTTAACTACTTTCCACTGATGTCTAGCTTCTAGAAGCATCAAATATGGACAAAAATAAACTGGTCTTTTTCATAATTCAGTGGGTAAAGTTAGACATTTATATTCTTTATGTTATAATCTAAACATCTTAAGAAATTAAGACCATTATAATGTAAGGTATCTGAGTAAAGAAAATTTTTATTAGAAAAATTTTATACTTAGTACTCTATAATGTGAATATTCAGTCTTTTACTAAGTAGTCTGAAAAAGCAAAAATAAAAAAAGGATCAATTTTCTTTCCAACTTACGTATTTCTTCTAAAATCTTTCATTAATGTTGAATGTTCAGGCATCTTTTTAATATCTTCCCAGTCTTTATCTGTGGAATATATTGATAAAGTTTTATGTCATCTAGGTTCTTACTTTTAAGAATTTTAATAAAGGTTACCTCAATTTTCATTACATTATCCTATGCTTTTTACCTCCATGAAAGCAGACTTTAAATGATCAGCTATAGTAAACACTATCCTGTACTATAAACACAATTCCCCATCCTTTTTATAACATTAGATTTCTCAATCTATTTCTATGTATTTTACTATAAGTTATCTCAATTTAATAACTAGAGAATGATAAATAAATAATAAATTATTAAATAGCTCTATTTTAAAACTTTTCTGCCTTTCTCACCAAATTTCTTCATTAATTCAGCAACCAATCTCATCAACAATGAATGTGTACTTTTCTCCTAAGTAGTTTTAAGGTGCATTTTCTTTTATATAGCCCTCCTTACTTTCACCTTATTAAGTATACTGTTTATATCAGTAATCAATGTAATCAAAGTAGTTAATAACTATTTGAAATAGAATAGTCAGTCATATGACTAGTTTCAATGACATTAACAAAAACAATCATAGCTACTAGATAAATAAGGTAGAAAAAGTTTCAGATAAGTTTTGCTGGCAAGCAATACTTGCAAAACAGCATCCTTTCTCCATTACGACAATGGACTTTGATAAGAGTTTACTAGATCTACAGTATTGTAATAGGTATCTTTATGTCACCTATAGATTTTATATGGTCATAGTTTTTCTTTCAGCTTACTTGTAAAAACAAATGCTATCTCTCCTACACAGATAACCATATATTGTACACTAAAAAAAAAGTGTGTATTTTAAACTCCTAAATGGAATTCTCTGCTTAACTATCACTTTGCTCCAGTTTCTCTAATTTTGTCAATTTCTCTTAATTACACAGTCCTATAAAATATTTTAAATTTGTTGTCTATTCTCCATCCTTATTATTATCACTTCACACTAGAGTAATGTGGTAGGTAAGCAGCTAATTTCTTTGACGTAAGTGACTTCTCTTTAATTTTTATATACCACTGCCACAGTAATCTTTCTAAAATATAACATAAACCATGTCACTAATTTGCAAGGATTTATAATGGATTCTTAATCTTTATATATCAAATCTAAACTCTGATGTCTGCTTTGCAAGTTCCTTCTAAGGAACCTTAACTACTATCCACACATCAAAAAACAACTTATATAGAAGCCTTCCTTATTTCTATTCCCTTCTCCCAGTCTGGTTCCTTTTTCTGAAACCTTAGAAATGTAACAAAATAAGGTCATTCTCTACAACTCAAATCACACCTATAAGCATTCTACTTAGAATAGCACAAAGTAAACCCCAACAGGGCAAAGAATCATGTCACATCACATCAATAATGTGTTATACTCAACATAGTTGTGTTGCACAAGGCAGGTCTACAATATAAACTACTGAATAGCTGAAATTCCCATCACAACATACAATTGACCAATTTTGAATTAAGGTGGTATCTGTGTAGTTATACTACATACACTGATAACATTAATACCCTTAAGATGAAAGGTGAAATTATAACTTCCAAATATTTCTAAATCAGTTTTGATTTTTACTCACTTGAGAAAAATTCCTAATAAGAGTTAACTTCTAGTAAGTACTATGACTAGCCAAAATTTTGTAGGTATTTTAAGCAAATTTTTATTATTTGGACTTTTGGGCAGAGTTTTTGGTGACTAAGGAACTACCATTCTGTGGTATAATGAGAAACTGGGATGTAGAGTTGGAGAGATCTAACACCCATGATGAGACCCCTAATCAACATTCTCCCTGATACAAATCACTGTGGCAAGATCATTGTAGAATCCCAGACTTTCATCTTTATCTTGCATGTTTTAGCAACACATTTTAGAGAGTGTTCTTATTGACAAGGGTTACAGAGGAAAAATTCTATTAATCAATATGTGATTACTATACAGTGCCCTAACTAGAAACAATGTCCAAATTTTGTATTCAAATTCATGTAACAGCAGTATTATTTTTATGAGCTGCCAGGCAATAATATGCAACACTGAATTTATTAATAATTTCCAATGGTAAGACCTAAAGGTACCTTTCTAATACAGACACTGCAAATATTTTATCATTGTAAACATTAAGCAATGAAACAAAAAACAAAACAAAACAAAATGAAACAAAAAGACAATCCTCAAATTCAGAAAACCCATAAATGCTTTATGCCAATATGTGATCTCTATAAATTTAACTATTTCTATGGCTCTTTGATTAATGCAAGTCATAAATATAAAGAATAGATTAAGAGTAGCTTTCATTTGTTAAAAAGTATATATCTTTTAAAGAAGACATCTAATTTCAAACAACAGTGAATTAAAAATAAAAACGAAAACATAATGTGTACCTGCAGGAAATCCCATTACATTGAATATTCTGTCCAGCTGGTCATGGTGATAAGGATTACTAGTTTTGATGTCCTCTTGTCGACAGTGAAATATTGGTTCTGACGTTAGTAGTTCTGCAAATATACACCCTATAGCCCAAATATCTTTAAAACAAAAAGGAAAAAAAAAGAATAGAAAGAAAAAAAAAAGGAAAAAGAAAAAGAAAGGAGGAAAATAAAGTGGTTCTTTCCAAAAGAAAATGCATTTTTATCTTGGCGGGGAGTGTTTTTTTTTTTTTTTTCCTCTTTTTCTCTCCCTACTAAATCATATTAATCCCTAAGCAATTGTAATTATTAGTTATCACAAAATATTATTTATAAATATAAATTCCACCCCCCACACTTTTTCACTCCATGTATTTTAATCTCACACAGTAGCTTCATTCCAAGTTTAAATCAAATTTATTAGCTGAAATTTTAATGAGTTTTAAATGCCTCAGATATCACTTTATCTGTGAAATGCAAATGAAGCTACATATGGAGTCTGGGAACAAAAAAACAAATGAAACCAAACAAAGAATAAACAAACAAAAACCAAAACAATCTCTAAAATTGGGCATATTACCAAAAACAATTAACATAATTCTTTGCAAAAGAATTATTTTTTAACTGTTGTAGTAAGGTACTAGTCTGACCACAAAAAAAGATAATGCCTGACCTAAAATATTCGAATAAAATAGCATTTCTACCTGTACAATTTTCCTTTCAATGTGTTCCCTTACATTATCGCAGTGTCAATTTTTTTCAAGTATTTAATGAGAGCAAGATATGGACAAAATACTACCTTTAAAATGGATACACGAAGACTATAAATTCCTAAGAATTATTTGTAAGAGCCAGTCAAATGGATTTCTCAGCACACAACAAATTCCCTCCACTTACTTTAAGATACAGACTAACTTCATTCATATTCAATTTGTGCCCAACAGAACTATTAGTAGAAAGATCTGTATGCCAATTTAAAATTTGAAGTTGAAAGATTCATATTTTTCTTCTTAACAAATGTTAACTTCTCTATATTAAGTACAATGGCATGCATACAGGGACACTCAACAAGTGGTTTATGAATTGTCTAAACATTACTTTAAGTAATTATAAACAAACTATATAGGAGAACATATGAAAATCACTATTTTATTAAAGTTGACTGTTCAGGTATATTGATAATTTTCACTAAAATAGAGAAGGAGGAAATTTTATTAACATATAACTGAAAATTTCTAAATTTCAAAACTATAGTATAGATGCCTAATTTAATGTCAAATTTTAAATTTACATCTGAATAACAAGTTAATCATCTGTTCGCTAAAAATTATACCCTGACTATAAGCAAGTGATACTGCGTGCATATCAGTTTTACCCCACATTAGAATACCAAATGGAAAAGCCCCATTACAAAATATTTCAAAGTATTTTGTTTTTAGCATCAGAAATTTAATCAGAAAAAAAAATATTTCCTTATCATTTTTTTTGTATATGTATTCCACATAAACATGACTGGTAATCTTAATCAAATAAGACAGACAAAATATAAGTAGAATCACAAAAAGGGTGATGAGTCTGTTTAACAGTCTAGAAGAGGTTGATACAGTATCTTTTAAAATGCTATAAATATCAATCCTTTTTCTTAGCTATGAAAAATTCTAAAGAAAATAAAACATGGAAAGAAAGATGGGATTTTGCTGTCATTTTAGCAAATTACTAAACTTTTGTAAGTAAGTCTCTTTCCTATATTGCCTTTTATTTTCAGATTGCCAAGTTCATGAATAAGAGCTTTCTTGCTCATCTATGTGCCTAAGTCAAATACTATCCACTTCTTAAAACCTGTGATGTTTATGTGTGCCTACTGAGTTAACCAGGTGAAGTAGGTAATGACTGGGATGTTATATATACTTAAAGCAGGGTGGAAGGAAGATTTGTTAAATAATGTTTTAGTCAATATATGTAATAATAAGCAAGCTTCTATCTCAGTAAAAGACTAAATTCTTATTCTATTTTATTATACATATATTTCCCACTCCATAGAATGCTACATAATCAATGCTTTCAGTTGTTTGAGGACAAACTTTAAAAGTCCATACTTTAGTAAAACTTTTAAGACTGCTTTATTGACAACTGAACCACTTTTCAGTTAAAGAGAGATACCTTTCTTTCAGCTATCCATAAAGTCTAATAAACAAAAACACCAAACAGCCAGACTGAATTAAATTTTGTCCTTAGAAGTACAATGTTTACTGGCCTATTATTTTTCCTTTTTGCTTTAATAATTCAGCTGTAGTTTTATACAACTGAGTAAATGACCACAGCACTAAAATCTGTTTATAAAAGAGAGTGGGAACAATTTTCAATAGTTGAGTTTAGATTTTCCCTTTTGTTCTTTTGCTCTTCATTGTGGACTTCCATTTTAATATAATCCATCAATCACTACCAGCAGATTTAACCCTTCCACACAATGCTGTTAAAACAAATATATGCAAGTATTCAGCAAATTACATGTGAGCCCACCAACAAAGTTCTTCTATCAGTACTTACACTGCAATTATATTGACAGGGAAGTTCAACAACTTTAAGTAGCTTTAACTATGGTGTAGGCAATTTCTTGGGCAGTATAAGGACCCCGTAAGCTATCACATAAGAAAAGGGAGGAATGGATTGTGGAGAGAGACTGGAATCTAGGGAAAAAAACTTCAGTTTTTACTACTTCTTTCTGTTTTTAAAAGTATATATTAAAAGTAGTTTATGTATGATTTTTCTCAGACAAAAATGCAATTATTATTTTACTTCCATTATATATTGTTTTTAGCCAGTGTTTTTATAGCAAGTGTTCTCTAAGACTGCTCTTGCTAAGTCAGATGTACATGGGAAAAGTGGAGGTGGGGATCTCTGTGATGAAGGATTGGCACTGACTTTGTTTTCCTTCATTTGTACTTAGTTCAGTTCCCTCTGTGATCTCCCTACTTCTGGAGGAAGTTGTTTTTATATAATAGAGAATTTTTAGAGTTGAATAGGAGCTAAGAGATGATTTTCAAAAAGGCTAAAACGCACACACACAGAGCTAAGGCAATAACTCAATTTGCTAGTTGTAACTACTGCTATTCCTCAAAGATCAAAAAATAATTTTATGGATATATTCATAGTTCTCACAAGTAGACCATAGAACCCTTAAAGGTAAATGCATAATTCACATTCATTTTGGTTTTTCTTAAATTTTAAGACGTTTATCTAAGAGTTATCTGAAAAACTTTGATGTTGATAAGGAGGAGAGAAAAATATGAAGAAGGGCTTCTAAATTACAAAGTCACTTGGACAAGAAATCTATACAAACTGCTTTTTGACAGTAATGTGTTAAAACTGTTGAACTGTACAATGTCCTAGTGAATAACAAACTATACAAATCTTTATGTTTGTTATAAGATACGTTTATTAAAAAAATGATGAGCTAAAATCATAAGTGAGAGTATATTTTTTTTACTTAAATCAATTCAAAGATTCAAGTTTTCATTTAGTAGCAGTTAAATTTAGGTAATTAATTCTTTATTTGTATATTCTGCTACATATCTCAATAAAAGAAACACCACTTTTAAAAACTCATTTTTCTAGGTGGAAACAAAATATCTCTGTATGTATTTCTTAAATAAATTTTGAATACTGATAAAAATAATTAAGTATGTATTAAAAATAGAGCTAGCTTAAATAATTCTACTTTTTTTACTTTTCTTTCTTTTTGAGACATTTTATTTTGGAATAATTTTACATTTGTAGAAAAGTCATAGGTAGCACAGAGAACCCCCATTTTTAACTGGCTTAATTTTATCTACCTTTATTTTTCTATAAACTAAAATATTATCTCAAAGTTTTCTGAACATCAATTTTTTCTTTGAGAAAAGACAAGCTGGATTCAAGGTTAATAAGGGGAATGATTACAGATATTTCCTTTTTCCCTCTTGAATTTACATTAGAATGGCAGCAGAGTGGTAAAAGTATAAATCCATAATAACTAAATGAATAGGAGATCATCAGGAACAAGATTATTCAAAAGAGTATTGCGCTTTCACAATGTACCAACTAAGAACTAACCTACAATGATGAACAGTTAGACAAGGTTTATCTAATTTAGTGGGCTTTAGATACTGCTCAGTGTTATCAAAACAGTAAGATGAAACTGTGATGGAGAAGGGGCAGAGGTTACTTTAGACTGAAGTATGAAGGAAGTTCTCTTTAGAGAGGTAGTATTATTTTGATTAACATCTTAATGAAGAGAATAGTAACATGAAGACCTGTTCTAGACAGAGATACATAAAAACATTCCTAAATGATAGAAGGATAAAATGGCTCTGCAAGTCCTACTCCACAGTTTCATTGTTGACTGGGACACAGTTGGCACATCTATGAGAAGATTTTGTAACTGTTAATGCTGGATACAAAGTCTTTAGCTTTCCCATTGAGGGTAAACAGAGTGAGGGATACAGATGGGATCTGAGTAGGGATGGTTTGATAGGGAGAATTAAAAAAACAAACAAGCAAGCAAAGAATAAGTTATTCCACTGGGGGTAAAAAAAGTCTTTAGTTTCAACAACTGATCTTCCAGGAAGTTTCCGGCTATACAAAGCGTGGGCCCAAAATTGATGTATTATGCCCCTAAAGAATACGAAAGCCCTCTGAGCGGATTTTTATGTACTGGCATTTAGGGTTTTCCCAGTTAATGGCAGTTAGCAGGATCGCTCTGAAGTAAACTGCCATGAGCGCATGATGTAGGTATACAAAGTTCCCAATCAGCTTTTTATAACCTGATTCTTATATACAAAAAGATATTCAAGGACCAACAAATAGTTGAAAAACACTTGTGACATGAAAGGGAGAAACCAAGATACATAAATAAATAGTGTCTACAAAGGAAGAACAGATAATAATTATTCCAGGAATACAGCAAATTACAAATGATTCAAAGGGACCATACTTACATCCTTACAGGTCCTTGAGAAGTTTTTCTTTTCATAGAGTAATATGAAATGTTATGAAAAATTAGTATCAGAGGTTTTGGGAAACAAAAAAGACGAAGGGTCAATCCAAGAAGTACAGTATCTGACTATCCTCGGTTTAGATAAGAGAAATAGAAAACTAAGAGAAGGAACTCAAAGGTCTAGTACAGAAGAATTTTCCAGATAAAAACTTCAGGTTTAATCTTCCTAGCAACTGGCCAGCACATCACTGGGAAATGTTAGGATGCAAATTCAAATTCTACTGTTTCCAGAGAGAAAAAAAAAATTGAAAAGCCTCAGGTAATCCACCCATGAACGAGAATAACACCAGCATGTGACTTGTCATTAGCAGTGATGCTAGAAGACAATGAAGGAACATCATCAAAGTTTGAAGGAAAAGTATTTTGTAACTAGAATTTAAAACCTTATCAACCTTGTATGATAAAGGTATACTTGACAAATACTAGAAAATTTAATCTAAGAAACCCTTCCAAAGGGTAGCAAAATAAGTAATGAAATACAGAATCCTAAAAGAAATAGCTCTACTCCAGAAATAATAATAATAATATTAAAAAGAAAATAGGAAGGAAGCAGTCCAGAATAGAAAAAAAGCCTCAAAGACTTCAGCATAGACTTATCAAAAAAAAAAAAAAAAGAAAGAAAGAAAGAAAAGAGGGTTTAATACTACCCTGGAGAACATAGTACATGTAAAGAAAACAGGCAAATGATAAACGGGGGGAAAAAAGGCAAAACATCTACAAAAATACTATTTGATGATAAAAGTCAACCAAATAAAATAAGAGTAAAGATATTGGTAATGGAGAATTGTGGTAAAAGGACTATAGCAGCTGAGTTTTGAGTCTATGACAAGGTATAAATTAAGTATAAAGAGTGGGAATTATGGTTTGCAAACAGAAATTAGATGTTTTAAACACTGACAAGTAATAATAATAAAGAAAATGATAAAGGCACTGATACAGCTTTTAAGATGAGAGGCTGGTAGGTGGATATGTATAAGAAAACTAATTTCCTAGGTCTTCATAGTCAAAAGATAGTCAATTATTATCTAATATCGAAAAAGTGAATTAAAATGCTCTAAACCCTACCTTTATCCCTTATGTTTTTTTTTTTTAACTTTAAGAGGATCATTTAGAGGCTAGTATTTCTTCTGGTTTTGAAAGAAGCATATGCCTGAAGTTCAATGACTTACAAATTTTGCTGTACTTTATTTCTCTTATCAAGTAAAATTATTTTAAAAATATGTTTCACTTAGAATACTTAGAACAAACCCATATACTTAAAAATTAAACAAAAAAAACTTTAGGCATTGTTATTTTATGTTAGTTTTTGCTCATACTCATAGTTATCTATATTACTTGATTTAAAAATACAAAGAAATATGTATATTTCACAACAAAAGTAACTTGAATTGTCATGAAATTTTAATTAATTTACTCACCAATAGCTTTGGTATAATGTCTTGCTCCAAGAAGTAGTTCTGGGGCTCGGTACCAGAATGTTACGACTACGGGATCCAAATCTGCTAAAGGCTTCAAAGGTGAATTAAATAGTCGGGCAAAGCCCATATCAGCTGTGAAAATAGAATAAAAATAACATTGAGTAAGTAGATTTTTTTACAAGTTTAACCGACTAGTTATATCATTATTTAGTAAACATGAAAAATGTGAATTCTGAAGAAAAAGTCTACAAAGCAATCTCACCTCTTTCAGAAGTCTAAATAAAAAAAAAAGCTTAAAATGCTCATTCTTTGCAAACTTGTCATTTGGCACTTCAAATGGGCTACTGGTAGGCTCTGTTAACGAAGGTCAAAGGATACGCTATTCCTCTGCACATCTGTCATCACCACTGGGGACAGGTTGTTAAGTTGCATTTCTTTTCAACTTTACTGCGCACAAGCACTGATAGGTTTAAGTTTTCTATTATTTACATCTATACACCTAGTCACTAGTGTAATTAGAAACTGACTATTCAGGATGTTCACAATACTACTTCTTCCCATTTATTTGGGTTGAATTTTTACTAACAATTTTAAAAGAATCACAATAGTTTTTAAACTGGAAATTACTTTAAAGATAATATAACTTAATCACATTCTCTTCTCAAATGAGGAAACTGAGATTAGAACAAGTTAATGATTAGACAAAAGTCATAAACTCCTGTCTTCGTGCTGGAGCTGTGGTAAGATATAGTGCATAACGGTTTAATATGTAATGTAGTTATTCAGACATGTTGTTTATCTGACTAAACCACAATATTCTTACAGGCAAAACTGTTTTTATTATCTCTCTACTCCTTTTGATATTAAGAATAGTGACATTATGTAACCCTTTTGCCAAATGTACACTGAACAATCACTATCACATCACCTATTCAAAAATTTTAATAATTATTGGTATTCAAAAGTTTCAAGATTCTTTCAAACAACTGTTAAGTTCTACTCTTCTTATACATTTTTTAAAAAATGAAGCAGGTCCTAGTTTAACTACTTAATTGTGGAGGCTAAAAAAAAAGAAAACACATTCAGCAAAGAATTAAAACCATGAGTCAGATTACTAATACTGGTTTACAGAACAGTATTTCTTTTCACATATACTGCTTTAAGCTGTTAGAATTCCCCAACCCTGCCAGCATTATATACACTGAAGTATAAATACAAAGTAGATTTTAATGTATAAATTTCCTTAAAATCTCAAAAGAAAAAAACATCTGTAACTATTGTTTGGATAGGTGTTTTTATATTTCATGTGCTTTGAACTTAAACTTGACTTTTGATACCAACAAAATGGATTGTCACCAAACTGAACAGAATCCTTTAAAAGCACATGTAAGGACTGAACAGGCATTTGTTGATACTAGGGTATTAACTGGGTCTGGTTCTCAAAGGAAGCCAATCACCAGGAGTAGTACTCTGAGGTGTTATAAACTTTGCTAAGAGTATTTCCAGAGTTTTCATTAGAAGTAGAAAGTGAGATTTAGAGGATTTACAGGGGGGTTGGAAGGAAGGGTTAGGCACACTGTAAGTTTTTCTTTGTTGGTAAAGTAGTACAAATAAGCTGATACTTCTAAATCATATTAAATTTGAAAATCAGAAATTACTAAACTGTTGACTGCTATTCCCACAATCCTGTTACCTTTCAAGTAATATAGTTTAGTTTTTCTACCCACACACAGAACAAACTAAATAAATGGGACAAACACAACTTAGAAATGACAATGAAAAAAACAAAAACAAAAACAAAAACAGGATAAATTTAGTTTTATCTTTAGTAGGTTATCAGACCAGGTATGAGTAAATTTCTGTTCTGACAGATAAGAAAGTAGAGCTATTATAAAACACATAAGGTAAAGAATGCTTGGTAATTTTTTTTTTCCCCATCAGACAAAGGCCCACGATAAGACAGGCTTGTTAGAACTTAAGGTTCTGTACCTATTTGGCCTCAGTGGTTTTCAAAATTTGTAATTTCTAATGCAGATGAAGTTAACTGAGGCATATGTTTTGATCTGATCTGGCTCAGGTGAACAGAACTGATGGTATAATTACTGGTATGCTATATACCCTTTTAACTAAGGTAATACAGTTTCTAACATGGAAAAAAAAAAAAACCCACTCACATCTATAGGTTCTTTTTAATGAAGGCAGGGAGGGATTTCTAAGATATGTGAATGGCATATTTTATAATTAGAACACTTCAGTTTCTAAAGATTGTCTTACAAGCCCTCAAGGGTAAAACAATTTTTACTTTTAATATATACTTTTTAAAAATGATCATATGGAACTACATGAATATATACATGTTACAGCAGAAGTCAGAAGTAATAAAGCTGCCTACAACTTTTAAATGAGTGCTACACTGTGACTTATCAAAGATGTAACATACCAATTTTTACTCTTCCTCGCTCAGGACCTTCACCCATAACTAAAATATTAGCAGGTTTCTGTGGAAACAAAATAGTGGTTTTTTTCAGTAGACAGTAGTGCTTTTTAAAAATAGACAATATGCCAATATAACACAAATCCACCTTTAAAAAACCTCATTTACTCAAAAATTAAACTCAAACACAGGAAGTCACCCAAGAAACTTTACATGGACATATGCAAAGCAATGTGTAAATTTCACAAAGGCCCAAATATGGCTGTACTTTTTCCCCTTGTTTTATCAGTAAGTTTCATTGCTGTGGAATATCTAGTAGAAAGTTATATGGGTCCTTCTTACTCTTCCAATTACATAAAATGTCCTGCAACTTTAAAGGAAAAAGAATCATCAAAGATGATTTGATGCTAAGTAATAAATTGTCAGGAAGGAACCACTTGATAATGAGTTTATAAAGACAACAAGGTATTAGTTCTGGGTTCAAACAAATAAATTAGAGATATCAATTCAATACAGCCTTTTCTAAATGAGTTACTGAAGTTATAGGAAGTTTTTATGACCTGAATAGTCTTGAGGATTTTGTTAAATAAAATAAACTGACACTTTATAAAAGTAGTATTTTAGTTAAGTTTAATATTTCTAAAATCAGGATTAACTGTCATCTAAAATTTGCTATTATTGTGTCCACTATGTAAGGGCTCTCTCATCTACAAAAGGAGAAAGAAAGGAAGGAATAAGAAAGAGAAAGGAAGAGGAAGAGAGACAGAGAAGATATAATCCCTAAAATTTATGGTTAACCTGCTGTCTACTTGATCTGATTTTAATTCTACCAGTCTCATAAACAGAAGTGAAAGTAGACTAGGATGCCTTTGAAATACTGATCAAAGCAAGCTTAAAATGAAATCAGAGATTTTAATGAAGGTTGTTTATAGGAGTCATCTTTTCTTCCCTAACCAGATTTAGTAATAGTCCCATTATTACCAATAAAAAGTAACTTACGGTATGTTATTTTATCAACCAGTAAAAAAATTAGAATTATATTTTATTCCATTAAAAATAAAGGATATTGGTGAAAAGGTAGCACATAAATTTCAGAGAGAAAAATTCCAGAGGAGGGATTTTCAAGAAGCATGAGGCAGCATCTCTATTTGGCTGGGGGAAAAGGTTGTTCTCAACTCATGTTAGGGCATCAGGAGGAGGCCTACTTTTTAATGCTAAACTCTTTATCAAGGCAGAACCTCCTAAACATCTCCTGAACACATTCCCTACTCTTCCCATGAAATCTCTATTTTGTATTGTTGCCATGGTTAATCTCTCTAAAAGACAAAACTTATCACATCACTCCTTAGCTTAAAATTTTCCATAATAACATGTAAAATTATTACGAGATTAGGTGAAAATGGCAGAACACAAGGTGATTACAAGTACAATAAAAAAAGTGTTATGAGTTAGGACTACAAAACAAAACAATGACAGAAGTATAAATGAACCTTCTTAAAATTGCAAGATTTTGCTATGTTTTATTAGTACTACTAAAATTATTATTTTAATTTTAAATTGGTCCTCATCGCCTATGAATAAGATCCAAAGTCCATTTGTCAGCTGGTTCCCAGCAGCCTTTCCAGTTACACCCTCCACCACTACACACTGCTACTGCCACATCTTTCCAACAATGTCATAGCTGTGCCATTATTTCTGCCCCATAAACCCCCCCCTTTTTTTTTTAAGATTTATTTATTTGCGCATACAGAGGTGCAGGAGCGGTGAGAGGATTTACCAGAGACAGAGAGGGGGGCAGAACAGGCAGATCGACGAAGTACACTGCTGAGGGGAGCAGCAGGCATGTCAGGAGAAGTCTGCTGCGCCATGTGGGTCAGCTCCCTGGCAGGTCGGGATCAAACTCATGTGGAAGTGGCTTTTGATTCCTAGTGCTGCACTTTAACCTGCCGCGCCACCAGGGAGGGCCACCCCAGAGAACCCTTTTAAACTACTTGGTAAAATCGGATTTCCTCCCTTTAATGTCAAGAGACATGAACACTGAATATAAACAATTTAAACCATAAAGTAACATCAATTAAATTGAGAAACCCTCTTCCACCACCCATCACTCTTCCACCACATCCTATACCTTCCTCTAGATACCAAATAGGTCAATTTTGTGTGTGTTTAATGGACTTTTCCTAGCACTGGAGTGCTCAATCATGTGTAGTAAAAGCATAGGTACCCACAGGCATTTCGCTTTTCCTTCTATACTAGATGGAGTGGAAAAGATGTGTTCTTACCCATTTATCAGCAATGCCCACACCTGAGAAGCCCTGGGATGGGTGGTATCGACAAGCCTGCTACTATGCAAAGGGAGAAAAACTCTTGTTCTTCTAGGTTTACTGGATAGCTCAAGTTCCAAACTTTAGTTTGAACACTTGTGGGAATGAACAGTTTCTTTGTCAAAGTCTAGCTTAGTTAATGGGTTTTGGGACTAATGGTTCAAGCAATAATTAAAAATTACTTTTTAAATAACTGTTTATTGAATAATAAAACAGCTCTTGGGGCTGAAACCACTACCAGCATTGCCTCTACTAACAAAAGAATTTAAATTCAATTTGGGCATGCTACATAGTTAAAAAAAAAAAAAAGAGAGAGAGAGAAGTCCTACATCTTATTTAATAACATTATTAATATGGGCCCCTCTTCACACTATTTTCCATGGTACTATTTTGTATATCCTAAGGCATAATATTCTGATTTAGTAGACATAGTCAACACTAAATTTTTCTGGTGAATATTATCTTATGAAAATCTCAAGAGAAAAAGGCAGAAAGGCTTTAGTGTCATGAATTATTCTAGTGTTTCTGTTTTGTTGACTTCAAAAAATTTCAAATTAATTTTTTCTAAAAAATTTATTTATTCATACAGAACTGGGGTACAGGCCAGAGCTGCAGAGGCAGTGAGAGGATTCACTAGAGACAGAGTGGGGAGCAGAACAGGCAGATTAACTAAGTACACTGCTGAGGGGAGCAGCAGGCGGGTCAGAAGAGGTCTGCCGCGCGATGTGGATCGCCTCTGGGGCAAGCGGGAATTGAACTCACGCGGAAGTGGCTTTAGCTTCTTAGTGCTGTGCTTTAACCCACTGCGCTACCAGGGAGGGCCTCAAATTAACTTTTAGTACTTAATGAGACACTGAAACAATATCTCAATTCTCCAAGAAAGCTAATTTCTTTTTTCTATTTATCAATTGGAGAATGTAGGACCAATTTTTAGCTTACGGCCAAAACTTAAAAGTAGTTGCTGATAATGCATGAAACTAGTAGCAATAACTATTAACTTTGATAAATAGTTTGTGATATTTTATGCCCTATCAAAGGTAATCACTTTGGACATACAGAACTTCACTGGTGACATTTTGATGAGGCTTATATTCAATTAGACTGTATTTGTTGCTGTGGGAATGAAGGTCCAATACAACTTCAAATTATTACAACATACTGGTTATAATTCAGTTATGCTATGCAAAGAAATTATTACAGAAAACCCTTTGTTGCCTGCTGAACAATAAATCAATGAGATACAACTTTTGACGCTGTAAAGTCCTTATCAACATTTTACTTAATTGAGCAAAAAAAGTTTACAGTTAAATGAGTATGTCCTTCTTTTAGTCTATGACATTTTTTGTTTTCAACTGTGCTCCCTCCCTAAAAGTTCACTGATATTTCTGAAACCACAATCCTTGTATTGCAGAGATAAGCATTCTAGTGGAGGCTTTCTGTCCTTCAGAATCTGTCATGTAGGGAAATAGTAATCTAATGATTTTGGCATACAGAGTAGTGGCAAATTAGTTTCATTTAAGAGATCAACTCTTCTAGAAAAGTAAAAGTCTTAAGAAAAGACCAGAAACTGGACAGATGAGAAAAATGCCACTGTCATTCAGAGATATTCTGACATGTTTTCCTGTACACAAAATGTATTTTTTCAAGTATGACTGATTTAGCTGCATGTTTGTACAGCTGTGGAGTTTTAATATATATTTCAGTCAGTTTTCTGAAATGTCAAATAAGTAAAAAAGAGGTAACTTTTACCTGAAGACTAGAAAACTGAATAATATTAAGAATATCAAATACATCTTAAGGAAGAACTACTAAGGAAGCAGATAGGATATCAAAAATCTTTTCAGAAAAAGGTCATTTAATGGAATTAAATAAAATTTACAAAAATGAGTGAATACAATTTATATTTAAAGTGAAAATCACCCTACTCCAAATATTATACTAAATAATGTTAATTTATATTATTTGGTAGTATAACTGCAATGAGTGAACAGTATGTTTTGTGTTCTGTATGCTTTGTGTTCTATATTCCCAAATATGATCCTCTTGACAAATCTAGGTATGTGGGTATTACTTTTACTATTTTGTAGTTCTCAATTGGTTATGTCTTCCCTTCAGCATCCATTGTGGCATTAATTCAGTTGATGCTCCCTCCTATTGACTGACAATGCTTGGGATTTAAAATAAAAGTAACAGATTAATTTTATGATAAGCAAAAACAATCTTCCTAAATGACAATAATGTAATGCCTTTTTTTTTTAAAGGTGAAAACTTCTGGTTTATCATAAGTGAAAATTTCTTCTGCAGTTTCTGTTAAATCTTATGATATTTAAAAAAATAATGTTTCCATCTAGGATATAAAAATACATAGTCTTGTAGAAAAGTTTTTATTTATTTAAATATGATTAATATAAATCACTTACGCAGTTTTTTTTTTGCTGATTTTTTTCACATAATATTTTATTTCTAGGGGCCTACCTGGTGGTGCAGGGGTTAAAGTCTCAGCACTATCAAGCTAGCTAAAGCAGCATGAGTTCAATCCCTAGCCAAGGAGCTGAACCACATGATGCAACAGATCTCTCCTGTCTTCATGGTTGCTCCCCTCAGCAGCATATTTCAGTGGAGCTGCCTGTTCTGTTCCCCATTCTGTCTCTGATGAATCCTTTCACTCCCCCTCCTCAGACTTTTGGCCTATACCCCAGTTCTTGTATGAATAAAAAAAAAATCTTAAAAAAAAAATAGG